TTCAAGGAATGGCCTCGAAAGTCTATCTATTTTCATAAATACTATCACTTTCCAGATTGACAAGAAGGTTTCACCTTGTTTTGCTCGCTTTTATCAAGCTGATCCTGCAGGTCCTTCAGTTCCGCTTCGCTATCATAATCTGGGCCCCTGAGTCGCTGAAGGCTGCGCAAAGCACCTTCCTTGTCTCCTTTCTTCAGAAGATAAAACTGAAAATTGCTCGTAGTTTTCACCAAACTTTCACCTCTTCGGCCTCAAATTTGACTTACCGGAGTTTCCGGCTGGAAAAAGAACGCAACGCCGAAACCGATGGGGATAAAGGCGCAAAGAATCGAAAGCATTTTCGGCGTAGTCACAGTCCCGCACACATACGAAAAGAGTACTCCGACAGTGAGCAAAAGTTGAAAGTAACTGCCCAGAGCACCTCTGATCTCCTTTTCAGCAATTTCGCTCGTGTAGAGGGGAGCGGCCACGCAAAAAGCTCCTCCTGCAATAGATCTTCAATCAGGCACATCTAGTTCACTCAAATCGCGCATTTACCTGCAAGGCCTGTTAGGAACCGGCCAATGTAGATCATCAGAGTACCGGAGGAAAAAATGACCAGCGCCCAACCAATGGAGAATGGGATGATCGTGAGGAGGCAGGCCCACTTCCGGCCGATCCCATCGCATATAAACCTGCGAGTGAAAGCAGCTTTAGCTTTTGGAGCAGGAGGAGTGGCCATCTACTCACCCAATGGGGAAACAGATCACCATGGCCCCAAGGGTGACAAATCCAGAGATCCAGCCCAAAGCATCCGTATCCACTGGGATGCCGTTGAGGTCGCTGTGCTGCAAGGATTCTGAGATGGTCCCAGTCCATCCTAGAACGGAGCCGGCCGCTACTGATCCTAAACACACTACAGAACTTTCGGCTTAGAAGATTCAACTTGAATGGACGGTGCGGCTTACCGGATAGAGCTGCTAGGTACTGGGGAAACCTCTTGGAGGCGCTCGACTCCGAGCTGGAGTCCATTTTATTCTGCAAAGAACAAACGAATGTCCCCAAGCACTCATTCCACCTCATAAACTCTTAAGTTTATGAGGTGGAACTATTCAGGATAGATAAACACTGTGTTTTATCACGTTGGGATGCAAATTTGGCTAAAAAAGCGTCATTTGCATGTTAATAAACTGACTAGACATTATTGGAGTTTAATTACTTGTTCACTGGTCCCTCTTTCAATAACAGCAACATACTAAAACCCTGAAATGTATTTTTTTATCAAAAAAATATTGTTAATAGTTTTCTTGAAAGAAATAGTGTGTTGAAGACTTCTTGAAGCACTGCCAAAAAAAATAAGAAGTTTTATTTGGAAAAGAGCCGATTTTCTGAAACGTGCATCGTTTTGTCGCATTTACCCGGCTGGGTTCCGGTCATTTTGGAACCCCTAATCCAGTCGCTCTAAAAACTAGTTCAGCTGCTCATAAAACTAGATAGAGGGTTTCTCCATCCGCTTCATTAAATTTCACTATTTGCTCGGCAGCAAAACGTTTTCCATTTGCCCAACGAGTGAAGGAGTTGTTGAAGCCAATACGATTTTTGAACGCGAATTTATAGCATTAATTGAAGGATATTCGAGTTGAAAAACAGACAGGCAAAATCGAAATTCTATTCACGTGCGGCATTTTCAACGCGGTTGTGGAAAATGTTTGCCTGCTGTTAATGCGCTTTCGGGCATTCTTAATTACTGATTTGGCACAGAAACAGAAAAAACCTAACTTGATGATGCTGGTTTTTAAGAGGACAATGCCATCAACAAGTTCACTTACAACGTCATTATTTCACGTTTGGTGTCCAACAGCCACAGTAAAAACAACAGTAATTGCTTTACACGGTTTCGGCTTAACCCTCAGCTCTCTGCGAGAGTAATTACGAATAAAAACAAAACAAGCTAATTTCATTAATTTGACGAAAAAACACGGCGTCTTTAATTGACCCAATTTTCGCTCGCTGCTGCAACTTTATGGGCAATTTCGAAATTTTATTCAAATTAGGTTTGGTCTAGAAGATTAGTTTCCGGAAGAACCAATTGTTTCAGCACCAGATTAGCCAAAAGCTTCAAAATGTAGTAACCATCCCCAGTTTCGACTCACTTTTTCGTTGAGGCGTGTTTTGCCTCCCTTTCTCTTTTTAACTGTTTTCGAATATTTTCTTTTCCGGGCTGCGCCGTTCGTGAAAATGTTCGTAATATCACTAGAGGTAGAATGAAAGTCCGACGCGGATAAATCTGAACACGAACTGCTCGAACTCATTGTTTTCCAACGGAACCCTCACGATTAGAGCGATAAGGTGGTTAATAGTTAATAAATGAACTTTTCGATCCTTCTGCTACTGCTTGTTGGGCAACTGGTCAGTGTATCGAACGTTTTAGGTAAATGGAGTAACAATGTTTCTGTCATTAAAAGAGTTATCAGGCACAAATTCCAATCTCCTGTGGTTTCTGAATTTACTGCCTCGCAGTCAGCAAGTCAAAATTGAATTGGTTTTGATATCTTGAGGCCACAATTATCTTCCGCGAGACTATCAGTCTCTGTAAGAGTTAAGTTTGTTGTTTCCAAGAGATTACAAAGCTTTCTGGCAATAAATCTCGTTTGTCCGCGTAAAGAATGAATGCTTGGCGCAAAAACTATTAGGAGGATAGGTCGCCTTCACTATAAATATAAGGCCTAATCCTTCGAAAAACTCGTTTTTGCTACTTCTAAGGTAAGTAAATGTCTGTTTCTTCTAAGCCACTGTTTTTTTCAATTTTTTCATTGCCATCTTGAGGAAATTAGCGTGTAAAAATATAATTATTAGAAAGTGGCAATCTACGAAATATCATGAGTCTCTATTGTCCGCCTTACGTTGTTTCACTTGAACGAATCAGGAAAGTAATATGTGTAATAATGCATTAAGCGTTGATTGAAAATTACAAAAACTGAATTACATTTCCGTTTCAAAACATGTAAATGGCGCTTTTGTTGTCGAATTAATCGATGCTGATCATTAGTACGATTATTTAACATTGTTCGCTCACTTGTTCGGCTCATTTGAATAACATGCGTTGCCTCTAGCTGATATGACAATTTTCAAACATTTTTTAGTTTGTACAGCGAATTTGTTCGATTTTCTATCGAACGCGATAAACGCGGAAAACATAACGCGGACAGAGGCGATGGGAGTCTGGGTGAAGACAAAATAGTTTGTGTTTTGTCGGTTAAAACACATGTTATGTCACTCTTCCTTTTTTTAAAAATCTTGCTTTGCTTGAAAAAAAGTATTGGAAGTTTCCATGATTTTTCAGTTGCTTAGACGAGTCGACTGACCGTTCGTAAACACGAGTTTTTCAAAAATTTGTCAAGGAAGAACGGAACATTCCTGAATAAGGCCCATAATATTACGCAAAAGAGAAAATCGGCTGCTTTAAGTGATGGAAAACTCACTTGATTAGCAAATTTATGTGAGTTTCCAGTATCTTTTCAGTTACTAAAGCGAGGCGATTGGCCGTTGGGAAACACGAATTTTTCAAAAATTTTAGAAGAAAAAGCTCAAAATCCGACATTCCGGCTCACAAAATCGCTCAAAAGAGAAAATGCGCTGCTTTAAGTGTAGTTAAACGTAGTTTAATAAGAAATGTCTGGTAGTTCCCAGGGTTTTTTTCGGACACTAAATCGAAGCGAATGCTCGTTGGGCAACACCGATTTTTTTTAAATTCACCAAGGTAGCACCGACAATCCCTCAATCCGTCGCATAATATAACTTCAAAGCGAAAATCCGCCGCTTTAAGTGAGGAAAAACTCGCTTTAATGGAGAGGAGGATTAGTCTCATGTGACCATCTTTTTCTTTTGGCTTTTTCCACACTTCTAACTACCGGTGAGAAGAAAATCTTGGAAAATACAGTTCCAGTTGCACTTGGGCGCTGCCCAATAATCGCAATGGGATTGTTTGTATTATAGTTTCTTTTAGCAGAAAACATGTTTTGCTTTGATGTGTTCATGGAGCTTGTGTGATCCAGATAAATTGCTTTTGCATGATTAGATAACAGGCCTTACACGCAATTAGTCGGGCCCGAAACAAATAGAGCTGATATGCAAACAGCGATAGCAATTTCTCCCGAATAGAAATCCAGGAAAGGGATTATAAACCGATAACGGTGTGGAAGTGTGCTTCCCTGTTTCCATTTTTTGCGGCTCGTTTATTTGATCGTTTTGGAGCAAAGGTTTAATTAACAAATTCTACTGATGTCCTAATTATTTGGAACAATAATTGCGTTAACGAGAAGAGTACCTACGCTTTGTAAAAATCCATTAATATTGCCGCTGGCGTTCAAGCAATAGTTGTAGAATGGGCGCTGGAAATTAAAAGCCCTTTAGCGCACCAATCTTCTCTTTAGAGGAACTTTATAGCCGCATTTAACAATTTCACTGGAAAAGTTATTTATAATTTACACTGTGCACTTAAAGTTTGAAATGAGATACACTTTGTGCTGTTGAGTATTTAAGTTCTCCAATTTTTTACGACATTCAATAGCAAAACTGTGATTTCAGTCTTTTGTTTTACCGTCTATAAATAAATTTTTGCGTTAACCGCATAATCAGTTTACGGTTCGGACAACTGCTCCATAAAACCGAGAAAATGGCAAAACTTCCGGCTTTATTGAAATTGCATTAAAGTTAATTGCGATTATACGGTGCTATTTGATCGATATGTGGTGGAAATTGATTAGAAAATTGTTCGAACACCTGAAAAGATAGGGGAAAACTTAGGAAACTTTGAATAATGAAAGTGAGACATTTGCAATCGCAACTAATATGAACATCGTTTTGAAACTGATTCAATTATAGATCTACTTTCTTAACATCAAAGGAAACATTTTCAAAAGGTAAAGCAGAAATCTTTCAAAGGCCAAAAGGCGCCCGGAATGATTTACGAAAAATTCTCTTACCCCCGTTCAAAAATCCGAGACTGAGCACATTTGCAGAGGTTAATCAGCCAAGCCACCAAAACAGACTTCGGTAATGGATTTATCCCAACGTAAAGTAGCTTTTTGTTTCGAACGCGCCTGCTTTTATCTCAATAAATCTTTTAAAAACTGTGAGTTGACATGGCCCTTCCCAAAAAAGGCTTGTTTGCAATTTTCGCTTTCATTATCAGGTTGCAGGAATGTGTCAATCAAGTGTTGTTGATCTATACAGGACAATGCTTATCCCAAACCGTCTCAGCTGAGGTTTTCATGATAGTTATAAGGCTTGGGTAACGCTGTGTTGAGTTGCGCTTTTGAGTTGATGCCGCTCTGTGAGTTGAGTGAGTTGATAACTGCGCCGCACCTCGAATTGCTCTTGTGGTGGAATAATTCTTGACATCAGAATGATCACTCGGAAATTGAGCATCAGTTCCATTTTTAAGCCATTTCTTTGCGGTCTTTTTGGTTAGTCAAAAATTTAAGAAAATTTTAGTTTTTGCGTTGTGCACTAATGCAGCTGACTGAAATTCAAGCAAAAATTCTTAAATCGGAAATATAGAATCATTGTAGCCCTAAAGTGCAGGGATTTTTTAGGATTTATGGGTTTAAAATGGAGGATGGGGCACCAGCTTGCCGGAAGCTGGTAAAAATGATCTCTAAGCTATAAACGTTTTAGCTTGAACTGAGTTTAGTTTTCCGGCAACCAACCGAAGTTTTATGGATTCTTTATATTTCGCTCTCTTTATTTTGCTGATTTGAAATAAGTTAGCTTTCGACAGATTTTCTGCTGTATTAAATACATTTGCTTCTTTTTTGCGAGTTTAGCATTACTTTGCGCCTGGTTGCCGTGTACATGTAGAACTTTTAGTCCCATATTCATCAACTAACTCGTAGGGTCGATTTGGGAGTATTTCGGGCGAATTTGTGTTTTTATATCAAGCTCATCTGAAGCAAATTTTGGTTCCAGTTTTCATAACAAGACGCACCAGCTGGTGTGTGGATTTCGTTCCGATTAAACCATTGATTCTTTCGCAATAAATCTTTACACTTTGGGGATATTTTGGGCGCTTTTGCATTTTTACATCAGGCTCATCTGAAGCTTGTCTCTAAAGATGATATTGATTTTCCCATGGTTTAATACAAATTGTTTCGTTCGGTAACTCGCAGCATGTAATGTGTGCTTAAAGTTTTAGACCATAAGGTTGGCCATATAATCAATACACAAAGATAAAATAATGTAAAACAAAGTGCTAATTAGACGTTAAACAGCACCTTGTTTAACGATGATCATAAACTTGAAATAACTGGCGATTTCGAGGTTTTAAGGTCAGCGCGGCGTACTTTTATGTTTGCTAAAAAAATTACGCTTGATTTTCGATGGAAAATTTGCTCGCGTTTTGTGGTCGAAGTGTGATATCCTGTGGCAGCTGTTCAGGCAAACCTAATGGAGATTCTGCTCTTATTCAAAACTTTATAGCGCTGGATATTCTCTATTCAGTGGCGTCCAATCGGCGCGTAATATATCTGGCTTTGAAACAGCCGGAAATAAAATATCCGGAAAAGCAATTTACGCCTCAACTGGAAAGGCGTGCTCGTTCCACTTTTCTCAGCCACTGGGTGTGAATATTAAAGGTATTTATTGGTGGCAAAGAGAACTGCTGGAATCGATGATGATGATGATAATAACAAAGATAATTGAGCAGAGTTGGCTAAAAATTGCACAATAATTAACCTGGTTTAATTGTTGCTGATGCTAATACTCACAAGGTTAATACGCTCGGCTAAGTGAAAACAAGCAATTAGTGAAGTATTTTTTCTTAGCGGCAATTTAGATGGGAATTAATAAGAAAATTGTGGAAACCTGTTCGGCATTAAACAGTTTAGATTGCATTTTTCCACCATAGACAATAATGGCAATTCGTTCTGCAGTCAATAAATTTTCATTTTTAAAGCCAGCAGGTTGCCGCGATGTTTTCTATCCTTTTGTGCGTTGTTTGCATTTTTATGGGCAATTAACTGCACTAATAATAGAGAGGAGAAGTAATTGTGAATTATTACTGATATGAGGTGCTTTTCATCGGCACTATCGTGACTGTTTAAAGCACGAATTATGGGATTTTCAAAAAACGCCACCACCCAACAAGTAGATAGTTGGCTTCTAGGCACGTACAAACTATAACTCCAAGGGCTGCTCTAAAATCACAGTTTCGGCCGGCAAAATGTTCTTCTGTATTTTTCCCGAAGACCAGTAAAAAAGTTACCGCTTTCTTGATGGATAAACCTGTTGAGTGGCTTAAAAAATTAGTAATTCAGTCCGCTTCACTGGCCTGATGCATCTATACGGAAAATGTCTTTGGCATATCCAAACCAGTTTTAAATGTGACGAAACGCGATCCGATGTTTGTCCTCCGGGACTGCAAATGTGGAAGTAATTTGATTTGACGGTCCATTCATTCGAATTCGGCATATTTAGTTTGCGCAATAATGGGCGAATAGTAATTTGCAATTTTTCGCCGAAAAAACCGCCAGGAAGTTCGATTTTACGCACATATGAGAACGGATTTCGGGCGGAATGTGTTCATATAGCCAAGCCCCATTGAATCGGTTGGTTTGCTCGATATTTTGTTGTTGATCCAAAAGGCAAAGTCTTTTGGCCAAATTCAATGAAATTTTTAATCCGTGAAATTAAAAAGATTCGCTGACTGCTCGTCGAAAACCATTTCATTATTATCCTTGAATCACAGCTGCCTGCAGTAATATTGTTACAAGCAATAAAAGATTATTCCATATTCTGGCTTATTAGCATTTAATGAGTGAGTTTATGCTGCCAATTGTAATGCGTTCCGTGAATATTATCTTTCTAATTAGTATTCCACAGATAGAGTGTAACCCTGAAATCGCATTGCCAATGTCGCACCTAATTTTCAACTAACTTCTGAACTTTTACCCCGTTTCAAAAATCTAATTGCATAATGGACTGAAAAAGTCCGCCAATTAATTAGCATTAATGGAAATTGCGCACTTGAATGGCTCGCAAGTGGTGGTGTGCAGAGTATCACATCAAGATCAACGTAAAATGCCCTGAAGAACAGTGGAAATTGCTCGTTCAAACGTACAATTTTTTCACAATTTTAGGATAAAACGCGGACAGTTTTATTACATTGCGCTATCACTTCCGGTCCAGCTTGAGAGGCGAAGCCCTGATGAAAAGGATTATCGATCTCGAATTCAAAGCTACTTCTTGAAGCCCTTTGCATCTGATATCTTGATGTTTTATTCATAACGTTGTTCCGTAAATGCTTAGCAAAGAAGGCCCAAGTCGAAAAAACGCGGGCTTATTTCCAATTAATCCAGTTTAGTTTGGCGCATAAGTTTGCCAAAAACAAAGTCAATTTAAGCGCTCTACACATGATTAATAATTAGCCAGATTTAATCTGCAATACTGACACCAATCACCACCCACCGAATTGTTTGGACAATAAATTGGCTATTATTTTGGATTAAGGCGTGCGTTTTCGATTACGGGCGTCGCTTCTCTTTTGCAATAACAAAACCAACTAAATATGTTTGCAACCTTCTAACTACGTTTAAACTAACTCGATCTCTGTGCTGCAAATCGCACGTAGCGTTTGAAAGCTTTTCACTAATCGGATCGAGCTTTGAAGCTTTGCCCCTTGGGCTAGGTGGATGTTGTGCGAAAAACCGCAAAATTCCACTCAAATCGAACATTTTTTCATCCATGAAATATTTGCCTTGACAAGTCGCAACCTCAGTTAATAATTGAAGCCAGGAAATGCTTACCAAAGTGTACTTCTTGGTCATTTTGATAAAAAAGGACACACAAAACACGCACGGTAGATGTGGAGGATGAACAGAGAAAAACACGAAACTAAATCACAGACACGCGTTCAGAAGGGTTAAAAAGGGTCACTCGCCGATGGTACCCTATCATCGATTAACAGCGCACGGTTTCAACTGACCCATGCAGTACCAGTGGAATTCTTGAAATGTTAGTGGCCTGGTGCAACTGCCATATCCGAAGTCTCGTTGGCTCTGGTACCAACAGCAATTCCTGCATTTACAGCCAGCACATAAAATCGTACAGCGGCTATACTGCATTTTACCAAATTTTTCGAATGAGAATGATTTACATTTGGTTTTTAATTGTTGTATATAATTTGTAAGCGGTTTTTTGCTTTTGCTTGATCTTGCAAAAAAGTGCTATTGTCAAATGTAATTAAACATTTGAAAGCAACACCCGAAAAACCTGCTTTCAGATGCGAAAAAACCCCACCGGTTTTTACTCTACACCAAATATCCCGAACCGCAAAGAATGATTTATAAATGTTAATGTGTGGTTGCTGATTTATAGGCGTATATTGGTAGAGTATCAATCACTGAATTACCCATTTCAGGCAAAAATCCGTGGATAATTTTGCAAAGTAAAAAGTTGCCATGGAACCGAAGTTTGTCGATTGAAATGAATACATTTTTGGCTGTGGGATTATTTGCAAAATCCGCTCTTGTTTTCTATGCACTGTTGCCTGCAGTTGTCAATCTTCTAGATTTTGGATTTTAAATGCGTTGAATGCCCACTATAACAGCAGACGTTTTCCTCGATTCCTGACGAGAAAAACAGGCATTTTTGAACAATTCAGAGCGAGCGAATCTTATGCTTCTGGGCATAAGTGTGTTCTAGTTCTTCTCCTTTTCTTGTCGATTGAACGATTTGTTTTACAAATTTAGTGATTATTCTAGTTTTTCAGTTATTGGCTCGGTTTCATGCGAACCATTTCAATTTATTAGAAACGTCCATCATTCAGGAGCGTTAAATTAATCTTTCGCGACGTTCACTCGAGAGCACCATCAATATTCGATTAACTCATTACCAATGCTTACTCAGTTTAATTCGTTTGTGTTTCACGCATATTATCCGAAAATTTGCAATATTTGCGAAATTAGTTTCAGTTTTTTTGATTTTTAGCTATTTGCACTTGCCATATGCTTTTTGCAGACTGACTGAAAATGCAGAAATTGCTGAAAATTACCGGAATAATCTTAATCTATCAGTCTATGAAGGCTTTCACAGCCGGTCAAATCACATTTAGAACTGTTTTTCGGGCTTTGAAGCCGTTGTCCATGGAATTTTCTTCGTGACGTTTCGTTCACAACTGCGGTGCACATTATCAAAGGCGATGAGGCAGTGGCCGAAGTGATCTCCCGTGAGACAATAAATTCAAATTTCCATGTCTTTCATACCTTCTAGAATGGATTAGCTGAGTTGTCCGCTCTTGAGCATGTATTTGTGATTAAGTAAAATAACTCGAAATCACGGGGAGTTGGTTGGCTAAAAGACAGATCAAACTAAATGAAATGATTAACAAATTCTCATTCGAATGAATCAAGCCAAATTGAATTTTCCATTCAAGAACGCAGTTGGCATCGGAAGTCTCTCTCGAACCCATAAAAGCCCGAGAGAGATGCAAGATGGCCAGCGCGTTGCTACGTACCAAGTTGATACCTTTGCGGCTAAAAAAATCAGTTTATACTGAAGCGAATCTGAGATCTCTGATTTTCGGATTGAGATTTTTTGGGTCCAAACCAGTGTCGTGCCCCAACTGGTAAGTTTTTCAAGCTTTTAGACGATGGTGAAAAAAATGTCTTCCTAACTTTTTGCAAGCACGAATGGCTTGGCATGTTCAGAGGTGATTGCCGCATTGAGCAACCCACCTCTGAAGATGCAGCCACTTGTGCTGGCGAAACATCAGGGAAAACCTTCCTCCACCATGGGCTAAATCCCGAAGGTGCCCTACTGGATCCAGTAGTTGGACCAGTCTTAGAACGGAAAGCACGGGAGATCACTTCGCCCACTGCCTCATGGCCTTTGATAATGTCCGCCGCAGTTGTGGACGAAACGTCAGGAAGAAATTCCCATGGACCACGGCTTCAAATCCCGGAAAACATTTCTAAATGTGAAATCTTTATGTACTTATCAGAAGCAACGCAAAAATATTTCTTAGATTGAAGCCGTTTATGGGATGTGCATAATATTCGCCAGCTTTGGGGATTTCACACACAATAAGAAACAAACAGTTTTCCTGTGTTGTGTCACAAACGGAAAACCGGATTTTCTCCATTTGTCGACGACTGAAAGTGTTGAATTTCGTGTTGAAACAGTGTGAATTGTGAACGATCAAAAAAACCCATTCAGACTCTGTCAAGTTTAATTCTATTAATTATACCATCCGAGTCGCTTTTTATACAGTTTAATCATCCGAAGCATGAGCGTAAAATCCTTGTGGGTCAAACCCGTGAAACTTCTCACGTATCAGATTGTGTTTGTTTGATCCTTAGCCGATTCTATTGGCTTCAACGGTGCATTTTAATTGTCTTGGGGGATTTTTGCAGCCTTGCTGTGTGTCATTGGCTTTCCAAACGACACGATATTTGCTTTCATCACAAAACATATTTCATTGGCTTGAAGCGAAACCGCCAAGAAATCTCAGGCGTGAAAGGAAGTTTATCGTTGATGGGAGTTATGTGGGCACGACTTAAAGGAGTTGAGTAAAATGCTTTTTCAAAAGTCGGAAAAGTGTCTGTTGCTTTTAAAAGTTTAGGCAGTAAGCCTGCGCCCGGTTTTTATGTGTGAAATGAGTCTAGTCTATGCACAAAAATATTAGAGTCAAGAAAGTTTTGCTTTACATTTTTGTAGAAGAAAAGCTTTTCACGTCAGAAATTTTTTTTTTCGATTCAAAGGAAGCAAGTTTGGTTTTATAAACTTTCGGAGTATTTATCAGTAGCTTTTTTCTA